TCCTATATCAAAGAAAAAAAAAAAAACAACGACAACAATGAAAAAAAGAAATTAAAAAAAAGGAGGTGATTGAAGACTATCCAGATAGGAAGAATAATTAGCAGATTACTTAAAAAAAAAACTACACTTTAACATTTGAGAGTTTGAAGAAGGGATGTTATGTGAAATAACACAGGATTAAATAAGAAAGAACAAAGGGATCCTGTTGTGTGTTTCCTGGGAGCACGGCTGCATAACATGTGTCTTTCAGGCAGAGCAGCTCCACTGCGGTATTAGACTGTGCAGATGTTGCTCAGGCTCACTTCAAGCTCATGATCCCCCTGCCTCAGCTTCCAGAGCAGCTAAAACTATAGGTGCTTGTTATTTTCTTTCTTCCTCATCCTACTGGTGCAGAGAATGAAACCCAGCACCTTTCAAAAGCTAGACAAATGAGCTGCATCTCTCATCCATGCTAACTCATGAACATTGTCACTTATAGATAGAAATTCATGGTTTGCTTCATCTCTTATACGTGCCATACATGGAAAGCATGGTTTTGCAAATGATTCTGCATAAAATATGCATGAAAAAATCTTTTCATTTGGATTACTATGATTATTTAAATATGTGTTTACAAATGAAGCCAGAAAATTTGTTTGGCACCAGGAGTGGTGGTGAACACCCATATTCCTGTTTTGAGAGGTTTAGGAAGATATAATGAACTAATTACAACTGTAAAAAAAAAAAAATGCAAGGTCCACACACACAGTGACAGCTCTATGACAAACTGTGACAAAAGTTCTTGTCACAGAGCCCTGGGGCAGCTCAGAACCACATCATTTCAAGTTCCCAGGTAAATTGGAAGAACTATAGGGTTAGTTATATATTAGTTTGCTAATAGTAGCATGTCATTCTCATGATGGCCCCTAGCATGAGAGAAAATAGATGACATTTCTCGGGGTTCTTGATTTTATTGAATTGTTTTGCTATTAATAATCACTGCTCTTCAATGATGAAATTAAATCTAAACTGTATCAAAAGTTTCCCAAGAGGGCTCCCAGCAAATGTTTAATATAGACTCTTTAGCCCCTATGCAATAACTCTGAAAAATACCTGCACACAGATACACAATTAATGTTAAGATGTAGGAGTCATTTCTTTTCTGCTTACTGATTTTACTGGGATAAATTAAAACTGCAGCCAATTGCTGTTGAAATGTCAAGGCTAAATGTCACAGAAACATAAGTTCAGTTCCTCTCCTATTCCAAACACTCCATTGCTACAGTCAGCCATGTGTCTCTAAGGACGGGGATGTGACCTTACAAGGAAGAGCTTCATGACCATGACCTAAGTATTTTCTGTCACAGCCCTTGAGTCCATCCTCATGCCCACACAGGAGCCAGTCCCATTTCATTCTTGAATTCACATAGGTAAGTGGGTGGGTGTGCATGTGCTCAGGTCCAGAGATGCAGCAACATATCATCCAAGTCCATTAATCTCATCACTCTGTAGTTTTCTCCCTATTTCCTCTGAAATTAAACAATTCTTTACCCATTGCCCTTCAAAGAAAGCACTGGGAAGAGTCAAGGACCTATGCATTCACTTCTCCATGCTGCAATATCCCGCTGTGTGAAATGAGAGTCAGAGTATGTGGCTGAACTCCACAGATGGCCAGAGTAAGAGAAATACTGTGTAGGAGAGAACTTAAAATACTTTAGGGGAAAAGAGTGTAAGAATATTGTGATTAGTAAAGTAAGAATTGAAACGCAGAAAGTAGACAACAGAAGAAATCAAGAGTCTGATACTAGCTCCGCCCCCACCCCTCCACCCCAGCTAACCTCGGAGTATCTTTCAGTTCCATAGTGGTTGAACATGTGTCCTGCCAAATGCTGTACCATTCTCAGGACCCATATCACAAGAAAACATGCAGGCTGTAATTCACCACTGAGTAACAGTGTTGTCCTTTCTGGCTCCCCTCTCAGCCAGAATAAATGCTGATATTTGATGGGAGCACAAAGCCTCAATTGTTTGAGCCCAAATCTCCAGTGATGTGGGTAGACTCATTCTACCAAAGAATCCCATCAGATTCCCATCTGCTGACTTCACAGCAAGGAGCTTCTCACTAGCTGCCTCTCCCTAACACAGTGTGATGCTGACAGCATGCCTAAGACCTTCCTTCTAAAGCTCAAGACAGACAAAAGCCCAGCATTAGCTAAGGAGCCATTGACATTTGTCATTTTTCTTTAATGATGTGTGACTCCTGATAGGGCAGGGAAAACCCTACTCCCAGAAGTAGTTGGATAACTTGAACTGGATTAGATCTGGAGGGAGGGATCAAAGTCGGGTGAGTAGAGGGTGAGGGTGGATATGGGAGGAGTTGGGGGAGGAGAGGTGACTATGATCAAATTAAATTGTATGAAATTCTCAAAGAATTAATAAAATATTCCTTAAAATTGTGGTTAGCTGGATGGCAACAGCTCATGCCTTAGTCTCAGCACTCAGAGGCAGAGAGGCAGATGGTTCTCTGAGTTTGAGGCCAGTGTGGTCTACAGAGTGAGTTCCAGGACAGCCAGGGCTACACGGAGAAATCCTATCTTAACTCTCCCTACATAAACAAATAAATAAATAAAGCTGTAAAACACTCACACGTGATAATAAATTGCTGCCCCTATCTAAATATACTGCATATAAAAATGAGGAGGGTCCTTTTCCAAATATGGTGAAGGAAGCAAAGAAACCTACTCTTGCCCTGGAAGAACTTGACAGGTCTGCATTCTTAGATACAGATCTCAGTACGATCCAGTTCTCCCAAAAGGAAAATGTTGTTTATCCCTCCATTGTCAGGGCTTCCAGTGGTAGGTTGAAGAAACAAGTAGGCAAGCAGAAGAAATGGCTATTCTCAAAAAAGAATTTCTGGTTCTTGTGTTCAACAATAAGGGATTTCTAACTTCTCCATCGTCTGATGTCAGTTGCTTAAGTAAGGGGAAAAGAAGACTCTATTACCCAGAGGGGTTAAAATACAAACCGTAAATGAGAAGGGAAAGGGGGTGGACACAGACACTGTTTAGGAGGAAATAGATAATAGCCTTTGGGGAGGAAAAAAGAATTTGGTGAAAGGTGAATTAATTAAAAAGTAGAAAGGAGTCAAAAATGGTATTTCATTTTGTTCCGTTTCACCTTTATCAAGCTCCAGGCCACTTTGACCAAAGAACAGAACACAAAACATCATTCCCAAGAGTGACAGAGCATGTTATTTGGAAATGAAGGATATGGAGATATACTGTCCCTATCTTCATTCTCAAACTGTGAACTCAGGGCCTCTTGAATTATGATACTTCTCATCATAATTTTTTTTTTTTTTTTTTTTTTTGGTTTTCTGAGACAGGGTTTCTCTGTATTGTTTTGGAGCCTGTCCTGGAACTTGCTCTGAAGACCAGGCTGGCCTCAAACTCACAGA